GGATTAATAGGCTCACTGATATCGAAACATTCAAACAGCTGTTAACTATTGTATCAAATTGTAATATCTAGAAACATTTTGTTTATAAAAGTGGACTTGCTCAGCATTTAGATCTAAATTTAAAGCTGTTTCTGAGACTTTTGTTTTCCTTAATCCCTCTTTGAATATAAATGTCATGTGGGTCTTAACGAATAGCTGGAGTTCAGTTAGGTATTGTAATTATCAGAGATAAACGCAGATGTTGAATCTAAATTTTCGGGATTTCAGTACTTGTGTTCTCTAATAACCCACAATGAAAAAAATCTGGACTATTAAATATAAACAGAAGAGCTGAAATTTTTAAAAAGCTGAAAAATATATTGATATGCCTTGATAGCCATTTTCAATGAATCCCCTCTCTCACCAACATCTCAAACTGGTTGGATAAGAATATTTTTCGGACATTTTGAGTTCATTTAAGCCACTAACAATTCAGGAAACTTTTCTAGGGCTAAAATATATAATAATGCAGCGTAAATAATAACGACCCTGCCATCTTCTCCAAAACTATGGTCGGTACCCAAAACGAATTCCAGGGTTTACACGTATAAAAGGAAACTAAAATTGCATCTGTCAAGATTGCACGGTGGTTATGTTAAGATTCCTAAATTCATCAGTTGGCCAAAAAAAAAACGTTTTTTTAGACTGTTCTATGATCACGAAGGCACATGCCTCTTCTAATCATGTGCTTTCTTTCATTTATTTAGATTCTCATAATCTAGTTCTTAATCCTCTTAGATTACTGTAAGTTTTAAAAATAACAAGATTCTAATTTGGCTCAGGCCAGATCACTAAGAACTATCAATAAAGAATCAACAACAAAAACGATAGAAATTAATCACATATTTTACTGTTAATATAGTTTTTCTAATCTATTATTATCATTTAAAACACTATAGTATAAAAAATTAACTGTATACCTCATTTGTAAACTATAATTTTTAATTACTGTTCATAAAACTTTTGTAAAATTTTTATAAAATTTTTGCAATATTAAGGATTTGAACCTTTGAGTTTCCGATATTAGAGCCATTCAACGCTCTTCCAACTGACTTTACTCATAAACCGTAATCCTTCCCTCCATAATGCCAGAGTGATGATAAAAATACAGCCTGTCCTTTAAGTCCTTATTCGGCCTGTATTTTTTCAGCTGTTGGTGGCAAACATATATGTACTTCTAACTATAGGAAGATATTAAAGTTCTGGAACTTTTTAATTTAGAAAATCTTTTTTGTAAAAGTTATTAACTCTAACTTTTTTTACTTTCTCCCGGCCCCTATATTAAGAAAAAGTTTATACTTACCATAAAAATGAAACCCAAAAGGTTTGTTCCCCATATGATAAAAATTGATAGTGGTATTATCTTTCAGTTCACTTCTTTTGCTTTTCCCATTTCATTATCATACATTACGATTTTGCATTACTTTACTGTAGATTTTGCAGGATTAATTTTGTTGCCCGACTAAACTTTTATTTTAATCTTCTTCCTAATTTTTTTTGTTTCAATTTGATAAATTATGTTATAGATCTGTTTTATCCATTTTTTAAAATAGTATATTTGTTCCAGTACAATCCACTCATCTGGATTTACATTTCAGAACTCTGACTAATTTTAGAAGGATTATAAGTGAGAAGCTTGAGCTTAAATTCTTAAAAAACATATGAACTAAGTTGAGTAGATTTTAAGAACATACAGAGTAGATGTGTATAGAACATTTAGGCGTTTTTTAACTAGGAGGCGGAAAAAGCGAGCAACTCATTCGCCGGGATTTGAACTCCGGATCTTCGGATTGCCAGTCAAACGTCTTTTCCAAATACAACATGAATGTATGTGGTAAGGAGGAAGTTAAATCTCTTACAGATGCTTAATAATAAATTGTAGAGAGAAACACAGAGCAGAATATTTTGAAGACAGATCTGTAATCGAATATCATGAAGAATACAGATCTGTAATGCAATATCATGAAGAAGACAGGTCTGTAATGCAATATCATGAAGAGGACAGATCTGTAATGCATTCTCTTGAAATGCAAATAACTTTTACGTTAAAATTACATTGAGCTAATTTTAGAAACTTAAAGCATTACTTTTGCTTCGTTTTAAATATTTAAGGCTGTTTTTTTATCTAATTTAAGGCGACATTTAAAATATTAACAGTTTTAAGTAATTAGTGAATTTATGCATTCTAAATGAGTCACATTCTGTTGCTGTTTGTGTAGGAAAGTAGAATATTTTAATTAAAACATCAATTAATCATAAAAGATAGTACGTTTACATTGTTCTTCCTAATTAGGAAGAAAAACTTTTTATTTTGAGTTGAGCAACGAAATCTAAAAATTAAATAATTCTATAGCATTTTTTGTCCAAATCAAAGCATATCTGCAACAAAAATTTCAAAATTATAAATTTAAGTTGCATTAAAAGGTATGAGTTTAAACTATAATTAATGATTCTGAATGCTTATTTTCTATCAATGCAATGCGCTTAAAGTTTGTTTAATAAAATAATATTGCAGAAGATTAGTTACCCACTTAATTTTAGCGACCTTATAGTATTTTATTAATGATTTCAGGAAGTATTGAAAATGTGCAGATTTAACCAAAGCTGTATAAAATTTCTGTCCGGCGATAGGGTAAATTAACTCAGCATTTAGATTAAGTGTAAATAGATAGTAACTTTTTAAGCATATAAATTACATAATTTGCGAATACTTTCATAGCAAAGTAATTTGATTTCCACATCTATTTATTTTATTTTCTGTTGATGAAGATGGTAATCTAAGGATATCAAGATAAATGAGTCTTATATCTCTCCTATTTTCGTAAAATGTTTAACTTTAATTAAGATAAACAAAACCTTTGGAAATTTATATCCTTTAGCTAGAAAATTTATACTTTCCTGCTTTATACACTACAAGCAATGAGTATTTGGTATTCTACTGAATTCTATTCACAGAGGAAGTTTTAAAGATGGAATATAGTCGTTTAATTTTCACAGTCGTTAGATTGTAATGCTACAGAAGACTTGAAAAATGTGCACTGTCCTGGCCGGGATTCGAACACTTCACCTCCCGATTCTAGCAGCACGTGTGTTCTCCAATTACACTCCGAAGGCACGCGGATAGGACTGAGAAAATATCGTATAAATTAAAGCAAAGATTTATCCAGTTTAATGTTCAGATTTAATTACTTACTAAAAAGTATTCGAAGACAATTAGCTTCAGGAAAATGGATTTATGGAGAACTTTCTAAGGTAAACTTTTACATCACGGGGTTAAAAACCCATGAAAATGCCATGCGATTGCAGGTCATCGAAATCAGAATGAACTGTCAGTTTAGTGTGGAAAAGTGTTAGTAAATTCACTGTCTGAAATATTCACGCCTGACTGTAAAAGTTCGGGCATTTCAAAAAGGATTAAATTTATTTTGGTTTTTAATAATTTATTCTTTATTTTAAGTCCTTTAAATAATAGGTTTTAATTAATAAATGATGTTCATCTCCTATAAAGTGAAAATATAGTAACCTCTTTGTCCGATTCCCTTCTTGAAAATTTTTTATTGTTAAGACTATGAAGATCATTAACTATTCAATTTTTCTGCGTAGACACTTTAACAGTACATTTATTAAATGTCAGTTAAATATTCAACGTTTTGCGTATTATAACTGATTCAGATTATCTTCCTTATGGCCTTATTTTATCATTCTTTAATAAAGGATTCCCATCTTTAATGATTTATAGAATTAAAAATTATACCGATATAAAAACTATTCTTCTAAATTCATATTACATGTTAAGAAAACCACGAAAAGCAATCATACATGCAGTACATTCACATGAGTTCGAATCCAGGTCAGTCAGCAATCTGAACCATTCGTCCAATGGTGGAGCAACATATCTACTAAAGATCCTTTAATAATAATATATTGTATAACCTTTTTCTTTCTTTTCTACTATATTACAGTCATGAATAATTCATCTGACTTCGGAGAATAACTCAGTCGCAAATATTTATATCAAACGTTTAAAAGTTTTAATATATATTTAGAAATAATATTTATATGCGTATATATATAAATTTATATGATAAATAAATTTATATATATATATAATTTATATATATGTATAAATAAATTTATATATATATATAAATTTATATATAAAATTGAATTGAAAAGCTAATAAGTATTGTGCTGTAAGACCTATTTGGTCTTAAAAAGTTTTTGCGCTATATGCTGCAAAAATTATGAAATAATAGGAAGAAATATTGTAGTGAGCTGGCCAAAAAGTTATATATGTATATATTATTATATGTATATATAAAATATAATATATGTGTAAAATAAAAAGTGGGATTGTATGGAATTAGGACCTTCAAAACAAAAATCAAATGCTAAAGCAGCTTAGATTAAGTAAATAATGTACACTAAGAAAATAAATCACAAGGATGTCAAGTTTGCAAAAATTAATTTAGATCATTCTTAATAATTCAAGGCCATGTTTAATAGTTTCAAATCGTCACATAATATACTTTCTAATTTTCGTTTTATTTTAGTCTAATTCTTTCACACACTTTTATAGCCTTCACACACTTTTAATTATAATATTTTATAATATTTTGTTAACAATAAAATATCTTGAATTATTAAGAATGATCTAATTAATTTTTAAAAGCTTGATATCCTAGTGAGTGGCGATTTATTTTCTTAAGTTATTTATGCATATATATGTTAAAATTTTTAAATTTTTATTTGTTGTGTTTACTTGAGAAATAATGGTGTCGAAGATTTAATAAACTTATAACAACATCGTTATATTTTAAGCATTCTAAAGAAAATTTTAAATTGTAAGCATCAAAGTTTTAGTGCAAAGTATTGATAATTTTAAAAAATGATCAGAGACATTTTATATAAAATTTCTTAAATTATAAACATTAATAAACAACTGACAAAAAATGTTTTACCTGATAGAACATTGCGATTTCATATTTTGAAAGAGTATGGTACAGATACTGAAGAATAACAAGGATGCTGGAATTCTCATGTAAGTTCCAAATTTCTCCGGCGCATGAAATTATTAAATTTCTGTATTTCTAGAAGTTCGTCCTTATATTATCTTCTTGCTATAAATCAACAGATTATTGCATTTCCTTTTGGAAAAACAATCACCATTACATAAATATAGCTTACTTTTCCTTTCATATTAAAAAAAAGGTCAAATTGTTTTAAGTGCTGATTTTATACCCTTTATATTCTTCTTTCTAATTGCTTAATAAACTTTGAATTTGATTTTCAGTTATCAGTTTCAGAAATTGTAAGAGAGTATTTCCTCCTTCAGACCAAGCTAATTATTTATACTTGTTTTAATTGTATTACATAATCTTAAGCGGAAATAAAGTAGCGGACTTAAAAGGCTTTTTATTTGTTTAGATCAAATGAGGTCATCAAACAAGCAAAGAATTCAAAAACAGCCGCAAAATATGAATAAGTCTCACTCCTTAATTATCTCTGCGAGGAAAATGATTTATTGCTGATTTGAAGCTAAAAATTAATTTATTAACCACATATTTTTACATGTTTTCCACGAAAAATATTGCACTAACTTAAATATTGAAAAAAACTAAAAATTTTAAATGCAAGATGTTCGTCCTGAAAGATTTTTTAAGAAGAAAATTAAAAAATCCTATTCGTGTAACTCAGATAACATATTATCAGCTGAACATTTTTCTGCTTAAACTGAAACATTTTAAGAAGCTTTTAAAGCAACTTTTCCGCAAACAAAATTCTATTAAGAGGGATTTGCAAGTATGAGTAGCAGAACTCGAAAGCAATGTGTCTCACACAGAGCATTTAAAGCCGCTGACTGAGACGGAGTAGCAGAAACTAACAAGAAGTATATCAAGTTTCCGACCGATCGCTTTTCACCGTTAAAATCCTGAGAAGCGTTTGACCGTAATGTTTGTTTAACAGTGAAAGGCCTTTTTAGTCAGTTGAAAGGAAAAGTCAAGTGATTACTGACGGCTGCTCTGAGTGCATCGCACAATCGGCGTGAGGTTGCCATGCCTACGCTGTAATGTATTCACTGACACCTTCCCATTTCCTTCGCAGCAAATTTAAGTCAAACAACCTTGTCTAAAGGAAGATTACTCTAAGTAACTGCTTATTTCTGATAACATGTTCTAAGGGCACTTCATATTTGCTGGGAAATTTTACTTCAGAGAAGCGGAGCTTTCTTTTGACAGGAAATCAATCGACCCCCTAGCTCATTTATGTAATGGATATCACTTGTTTAGAAATGGGGCCAGATATACACATAATATTTGATCTACTGTAGACATTTATTTTTATATCCGGAGCCAAACTTTGTACAATGTGACACTCCTACATCAATACTGAAACTATAGTACTCACAGAGGATAATGTAGGTTTCTGAAATCTCCAGGGTTCTTTATTCGTTCACTCAGAGACTTTAACATGCATTAGAGAGGGAAAGTGATTTGTTTCCTACAAAAGTCAAGAACGTGTCCTACTCTCATTCAGTGGAGTTGATATATTTTAAGATATATTTTTAGTTTCTTACATTAAATAGCAGCCTATTTGGATCAAGTAAAATGATATTTTTCATTCAAAATAGGATGTGAGATCTACAAAACGTCTTTTTTTAAAATTATCTGTGTAAATTCAAAGTCTTAGAAAGAAACAATTTACTGTTGGAATGTGCAACGATTATTAATAGAAATTTGTTACTATATTGGATGCTCAAACGCCTTTGAAGAAAAAGCATGAGGGAGTTTTAATACTATTCCTCTTCATTTTGGAAATTAAATTGATTAACGAAACACCGGGTTCGCTCCGGCTTTTTATCAAAAAATTTTCTCCGGCATTTTATTAAACATTTTTTTTAAATTTCTCAGATGATCAAATAATGGATATCATTATTGGAACAACACCATTGTAAACAATTTTTGCTCGTATTATGTCTTAATATTTTATTTAAAGATAAATTTATATTTGACAGTAAATCTTTGTCGATCCGCGGAGTTACGTCATTAATACATCACACGTATAGTGAAATCATTTTCCGTAAAGTTTAGGGAAAAAATATGTCAAGTATAATTCAAATTAAATAAGTATGTATTAAGTATTATATGATACTTTTCTTTTAATTTGGTGATTTTTGCTTGGTACTGACACAACTCTTTAAAAGTTCCATGGTCAGACGCTCAATGTTTTTCAATGCCTCTTATTTTATTCATTTGGAGCAACATCCTCCGCAAAACCAGACAATTCCTATACTTTTCATAAAATTTGTTTGACTTCTTGTAAGTTAAAGGCCTTTTATCTTCTCCTTCATTATCATTGCTTTCACTGCATCTGGTGTTATAAGATTATTTCTTGATAGTTCTTTGACATCTCCATCTACTATACCCGTAAGCCCTTCTTATCTAATTGTTTTTGCAGTTTGTAGGATTTCTTTGGCCTTACTTTCAATCGATGGAAGCCCTTTAGAATTTTTTATAACTTTTGGCCAGAGCTCATGCAGCAAACTGTTTATGTTAATGAATCAGCGTTGAGTGGCGTATGAATAAAATCTAGGGTTGAATAAATTAAATGGAAACAATTAAAATAACACATATACTGGATATCACGTTCCGTAAATCCGTGTTCGGCAAATGTTTACTGTATAAATAAAGCTTAACCATTCGTAGAATAATTAAAAATTTTTAACAGTTAAATTTCCGAACACTCTGCTGAGTTAATTCTTCCTAAGAATGACTTTGGACGGTAATTAAAAATGTTAGTGTAAATTAAATGTGTATTTTTCGGAAAAAAAATATATTGTTACGGATTTGGTATTTAAATAGCTAATGTTAGTAGAATAATAAATTAAATTGTTTTATTCCCCGTGCAGTGCAGCGCGTGACGAATATTATGAGAAAACTAAGCCGGAAAAATTAAAAATACAAGAGCACGCGCATTTAACATTTAATAAATAAATATCTCTTTTTGATTTCGAGAAAGTTCCAGAAAATTCTCGCGCGCGATTTAAAATCTTAGAAAAGGAGGAAAACCTCTCAGTTCGGTGTGATTTTAGTTAGTTTGTTGTTGTTTTAAGAGTTTGTTTAGAAAACTGCTCTTGTTGACTGTAGCGAATTCGCGGATTAGCTTTCTTTAGCTGTTTTGAATTAAGTTCTCTTGAACGTTTCAGTAGTTAAAAGATAACTACTGTGAGATATTGTAATACTGCACGAATATCTGAGGAGATTTAAGCATTTTTGTTGTGATAATAATAAATTTTGTTCATTTTTCATTGGACTTATGCATTCATTTCGTAACGAACCCATACGCACGCAACAATTTTTGGTGTCAGGAGTGGGGTTTTTGAATGCCAATTACAAGAGTGATTGAAGACCAGTTCAGGCAATTGATGACTGCATTTTCTGCTTTCCAAGAAAAGATGGAAGGGGCCGTTAACTCCGTTAAAGAGGAAATGAAATTAGGCCAAGAATCAGTTAAAGAGGAGATGAAGTGTGTTCAAGGATTGAAACAGGTCAAGAGGAAATCAAAAGAGAAATTACCTGTATAATAGAAAACAAATTTGATTCTATGGAAGGAAGAATAGAAGCTGTTGAAAATAAAGTTGGAGAAATTCAAGAAAGAGTTTCTTCTGTGAAAGAAAAAATGGAAGAGAAAGTTTCTGCTGTGGAGCAGCGAATCGAAGGAAGAGTTTCAGCCGTCCAACATCGAAACGAACAACAAATTGAAGAAAACGTATCTGTCGTCCAAGAACATATCGAACAACAAATTGATGACAGGGTATCTGCAGTTGCCAAAGAAGTTGATAATTTAAAGAAATTCGTAGCGTCGCCAAAGAAGTTGACAGCCTAAAGAAGTGCATAGCGATGGCAGGAAGCAATTCGGAAGGCTTTAAATTTCTACCCATGCCTACTCGTCCCTTTTTGAAGCTATCTACATATGATGGGAAGACTTCCTGGCAAGTATATAAGACACAATTTTCTATAGTGGCGGAAGCAAATGGATGGGATTCCCAAGCTTAGGCCTGTCATCTTGCCGCTTCTTTGAGAGCAGACGCAGCGGATATCCTGCAGACTCTTCCCGAAAACCAGAGATTAGACTTTGAAGCTCTATCCGGCGCATTGGAGCTGCGCTTTGGAGATAAGTGTTTAAAAGTTTAAAAGACTACAGCAGGCTTCAACTAAAATCCCGTCAGCAGAAACCCACCGAAACACTTCAGGAGCTCGCCACGGATGTTGAAAGGCTGTCACATCACGCCTTTTCGGAGTGCCCGACAGAAACAAGAGAAATCCTGTCGCTGCAATATTTCATCGATGGCATCCGGGACCCTGAAACACAGAAAGCACTGCGAATGGCGGATGTTAAAGATTTGAAAAGCGCTTTAGTGTACCCCATAAAATTAGAGGCAGCCCAGCAAGCCACTCGTAGAGACCGCCACCCAATCAGAGCTATTCTAGTCCAGGAGCCAGGGGATCAAGTCACTGCTCGTCTACACGATTTAACTAGACAACTGAACGCCTTGAGACGGAATCTTGGTGACAAAAAACTGAACGTAAAATGCTGGAACTGCGGTGCTGAAGGACACATACGACGAAACTGCAGAATACCCCAGGGTACGGATGTTAAGACAACTCCTAACAAACAGCAGGGCTTTCGTTTTTCCAGAACTAGGCATAAGGCTCAACTAGCAAAAATATGGATTCTACAAAGACAATGCGATGGCCCACATAGTATGATCATTCGTGATAGGATTCAGTGAAATGTTTCTTTGTCATTTCGTTCCCCAAGGCTGTGATGGTCCATTGCCTGTAAGATTACCTAATTTTATAAGGTATTTCTCCCGCCTTCTTAACGAGCTTTCGTGGTGTATTGGTCTGTACGCTCAGCGCGTAATTGAGAGATCCGCGGTTCGATTCCCGGCGAAGGCGCTGTTAATTTTTCATCCCTCCTGCTTCCAAATAACCTAATGTCTCTACAGTGGCGCCCGAACTAAAAGGGTGTTGGATAATGATTCTCCTCACCTAGGATTTGGCGATTGGGTCCCCTAAAAAAAACCTCAGTCGCTCTTTAGAAGGGGTAGAATATAAGGTATTTCTCCCGCCTTCTTAACGAGCCTTCGTGGTGTAGTGGTCTGCATGCTCAGCTCGTAATTAAGTTCGCGGTTCGATTCCCGGCGAAAGCGTTGTTAATTTTTCATCTCTAATCCCTCCAAATAACCTAATGTCTCTACAATTTGTTGGTGGGTGATTATTTCTTTTGGGAATATTTCAAAATTATTTTTTTAACTAGCTAACCAACATTGGCGGTTTGAAAAATTTTAAGTGATAAGAAATTGCAGATATGCCGCTAGATATGATGTAAGGTGTATTTGGTAACTTCGCTAAGAAGTAGGAAAAGCGTATGCAGGTCGCCATCTAAATGGGGTGCTCTTGAATCCGTAAAGAGTAATGTGTGCAACTGCGTGGGTTTTGAAATGGATAGTAAATATAATTCTAAAGCGAATTCACACCAATCTCTCACATTTTAATGTTTTATTAGTATTTGAAAACGAGAGGCTATTTCAGATTTGTTACATCTATGGAATGTTTTCTAGTACATTAGCGCTGACGCTATTTTCAGTCGCTGCGTGTAGTTTTAAAGAAATTAAAGTTTCTTTGTCGTAGATGCTATGTGAAATAAAGTAGTTTTAACTGGGTGGGAGAGTGATCTAAATTGATGTTCCTCTGGGTAGGAGTGAGATCTAAATTGATGTTCCTCGTAAAATTTTTGGTGTCACTAGTAAGTATTTTCATAAAGTTATCAGTCTGGTTTTGCAGCTTTCTTCTTTTATATTTTTAAGTTGTAATCCAAGCTATGATTACAATAAAGTTGCCTTTGTTTGATCTTAAATCTATGTGTTTAATATATTTTAAAATTTGAACTTAATTTAACATAGTCAAACCATAACTCTTTTAGAAGCTGTACAATAAGACTGGGAAGTAATGAAAAATCATTTAAACACCTTATTATAATTATTATGAAATTGATCTTATTATTACTGATATGACAAATGAAGTATTTTTTTGGAAATAAATGAGTAAATTGATGTAATACGCTCAGAGGTTTCTTAATTAATACTCTTTTGGTTGCAGTTATATTGCTTTTATGATCCATTTTACTTTCAAAAGTTTTAATCCTACTAATTAAATTAATTTTGAGAATTTCGAAATTTAAAGATAATTTCGTAATTTCACTTCAGTAAAAGCTTTTACTGAAATTTCTCGTTTACTGTGCTATACATTCAAGAGAGCACATCAAGCTAACAGCTGTTTATTAATGTTTATGTAATTAATTGTTAAATACAAGTTTCTAATTAATTAAAATAAACATTTTAAGATCTTTTTTATATTTTTCGATATGAGCATCATAACAGCTGTAATCTTCAAAAACTAATCAAAATTCGAAAGACAAAGTGATTTGAAAGACAAGTTTTATTTCAGGTTAATTTTACTTATATCACAGAAAAACAAACACATCAGTCTTGCAAGGATTATTTTCTATAACTGATCATTCACAGTTTCTTTTCATAAGGCAGTGTATGATTAATTTTCTTTCTGTTACTAAGCAGCATTTGCAAATCCTACTTTACCGTTACCATAATCAAATTCTGTGTAGAAACGACCGATGAAAACATCTCCCAAAATCCACAATGGTCCCATAGGCTTTGGTACATCTAATCCCATAAATCCACTGAGGCAAATAGTCTGTCCTAACTGTGAAACCTGAAAGAAATAATTTTCAATATTTATTCATTGATGACAGTTTGCATTCTTTTGTACTTACAACGATGTTGTCTATTGAAACATACTATTTTATGAAATCTTGGAAACAGATTTAATGAATCTAAGGCATACAAGAAATTATGTACGTGAAAGTCTTTTGACTCTGTAATTCAGGATCATGGCTTTGGTTATAAACTCGTATCTTGATGGTTAAAAATGTAATTCAATTTATCTTAACTTACATTTCAGTCAATTTTGAAGACCTGCATGATCTGTCATTTGTTGGTGATTGCAAATGAAAAAATTAGCTAATTTATATACTGGATTTTTTGCATTAGTGAGTATGCAATGCCAAACGAAATAAACTCTTAAATTTGAAGCAGATAAAAGAGTTCGAAAGTAAATGTGAAGTTTTCATAATAATCTACATAGAAATACTCCTCATGCAATCCCTTAACATCAAAACCCTTTCACTAAACGATAATTTACTTTTATTTAAGCACAAATGCAAAACTTTCGCTGTACAATTTGTATACGCCCTCTGAATATGATTCTCGATTTTTATATAAAATATGTTGCTCAATTCTTGTCAAACTAGAGTCGAAAATGCTAAGTTTGATTTTTTTATAACAAGTACAAAATTTTCCTGACCAAACGTATAGGCACCGAAGGAAGGTGAAAAAAGTTAGATTTTCTAATTTTTATAAAACTGATATTTAGTTAATTTTAAAATGCCAAAGCATGAATCTTTTAAAACATTCTTATAATTGGAAGTATATGTCTATGACCAACGGTTGAAATAAAGGCTGGGTAAGAACTTTAATGGACAAGGATGAGTGCATATAGTAGCGAGCGATTCAGCTAAACTTGTAAACGTCTGGGAGAGATAGGTTGCCCAAAAGCAAATCAGAATCATACAGTATGCAGAGTCAGAAACGCCATCGCATGAGCAGATTTAGTTATTCGGCTGAGAGCCTGCTTATGTGTTATATCAGGATACCTTCCTTTATAAACCATTCGCGGAGGCAATAACATTCTTTGATAACTTTTTTTGTGCTTACAGATAAAAAGACTAGAGTTAGAACCACCGCTAAAAGCGATGAGAATAAAGTCCAAAGTTCGTCAGGAATTTTCCAAAATGTATCTGATCCCGTGTCAAGCCTATGAGTTGCAAGGTCTTTCAAATCACTATATGATTAATTTCTACTGAAGATCATAAGCAAGAACATTTAAGTTCAATTGCTTTTAATCGCTTTGCAACAGAATTACTTCCGCTTCTTTCTGCTAGGAAATCTCAGAATCTACGCTGCTTTGATAGTATTAGATCTTCGTTTATAGAAATCGTATAAAAATTCTGTAAAGCAAATGCATCCTTTGGTCCAAAAAACACCAATAAAGCAAATTTAAATTCTTTGATAAAATATTTCTTTCGCGACTGAGTAAAACATTTGGACAAAAATGAAATTAAAGGGAAAACATTTTTTTTACTCATTGGCAAGTAATTGCACTCTATATCGTGGAAATATTGGAGAAATTTTAAATCTATGAAAACTGTTTTTCTCTCGTCAGACGTTGCCTCCTTCTTATAACTTGGAGTTCAGGTGGAAATTCAAAACTTCCGCAGGCATTGTAGAAAACGTGCAGTGAATAAAATTTTAATTGAACCATGAACTAAAAAGGCTAATATAAATATGTTAATTCCTCCCCAAGTTATAAAACTTGGTGGACTTATTGTGAAACATTTATCAATGAAAACGTTCAATCGTTAGGGAAAATTGATAATCCCTTCAGTAATTTCTTGACAAAGATCAAGCAGTATAAATCATTTTTGGCCCCACTAATACCCAAGGAAAATGAAAAACGTTTTCAAAACACAAGAATATTCACGAATTTAATAATACCTTTAATAATAATATTGCAACTGATAAAAATATTCATTGTATAAAGTTGGAAAATAAAGGACAAAAAAGAAACATAAAATGTAACTGACTGAATAAAGAAACCTTGCGTCTCCCCCCCCCAGTGCCATGTTATGTTATGATAGACAGTAATAAAATCTCACTCTTTTAATATAAAAGGTTAGTTTTGTTATTACTTAACTCAAATTAGAGTACTTGGATTACGAGTGCAAGCTAGCTTCATTTTACATTAACAAAAACTGCTACAACATTTACTATTTCTGTATTTACTTCATTCAAAATTTCAAGCATGGAATTATTTCTCTAATTTCTTCATTCAAAATTTACTGTATGAATTACAAACGCAAGTTATTTATATTTTATAATTGTGTAAAAGTCAATGATTCCAAACTAAACATCACTTGTATTTATTCATAATAAAAATATTTTATTTTAATTCGGAAAGTGGAAATAATTCCTTACCACATTTAATAAATTGCTATTACTTTCACGCAAATTATATGTCATCTTAATTTACGTAGCTTTAAATAAGTTTTTGCTCATTAAATCACAAAATATAACTTATCATCTGACAAAAGATGCATATAATAATAATCTTTCAAGAAACTAGACTTACTGAATTTTACAGCATATATTAAAACTACAGTACGCTTACCTGAATAACATAGTCTTTTCCTTCCAATTCAAATTTCTTACCGGAGATGGTAAAAGTTATTTTAGGAAGCTTCGGAATGAGTTTACAATCCACGACATACTGAAATGCAAAAGCAAAGATCGTCATATTGTCATACGGATATTTTATATAATTTAGTTACGAATATTCACAAAAAAAATTATTAAATTTTTACATTCTTTTCCTTCTTTCTTCATTTAAAATGTGAAACTTTGATTTTCGAATTAAGAAGGAAATATTTCTTACTTCTCCCTGAGTAAGAGGTGTAGCTCCAATTTCGTTGTTGAGTTTCTCAATTTCAGAAACAGGGCCGACGATTAGGGAAGTGCCAGTGTCTGCAATGGCTTCGCAACCGCCAGCGCAATACACACCAGTTTTACCATTAAGAGACACTCTGCAATATGTAAGTAAAAACTATTAGCTGTCATTGCAAAGCAATTATCGCAAAATACATCTTTCTTGAATTGCAATGTTTTAGTCATCAGTGAAACCACGTAAAGAACTTACAATAAGGTAATTTCATATTTGAGATTATTTAACTGAGGTATGAGATTTCCGTTGATAAGTTCAAATAATGTGTTGTCAAGGCAACCAATAAATTTTATTTTCATTGAAGCACAGTATTTTCGATAAAGAGTTGATTTGCAACCATCAGAATAGTCATGCAACCCTCAGGATTGGGCGACTAACTAAATTAAAACCACCTTAGATTTGAGAATCCTACTACAGAATTTTTAACTTTTCTTTAGTTCGCAAACTGTTTAAAAAATTTTTACTTATGTAATTGTAATTAAAAATATAACTAGACGATTTCCAGCTGTAAAATGTACTGTTTTTAATTCTTAATCTTTTTCTTCCTAAGGCGTAACACGTTTCTAATCTTCAGGAAGAGATTTAAGGAATCAGGGAAGTAAGGGATGAATGTCAAATTCGAAATTTTATAGTAATAAACGTAGTACAATTTCACTATTTTTAATAGTTCTTTTGCTTCATTTTGTATTTATACTACAACTAATTTATACAAATGTAAATTTTAAACTGTGAAAAATAGTGAAGGAAAAGCTAACACTACAACTTCGACAATGTAAGAAATTAGTGAGAAAATTTTTATATATATATTTCTTCGATAACTCCCCAAAGGGTATATCTATAGTAATATTTTAACGTTATGATTCCAATTAAAAAGCACGTAATAATTTAACGTTATGAGCAACAGTTTACTTGAGGATCTTAGAAAAATGATAATGCAGATGTTAAGAATTCAGGTGAACAATACGAGTTCAAAACTATTCGTACAGCTGTAAATTTGTATAAATAATTATTGTATATTTAGATATGTAGCATATAGTTTAATCTTGTTGAAGAGTAGAAAACTCAATTTACATTGCAATTTGCCTGCATTATAATCATTCCATTAGAAATGAAGTTATCCCGTTTAAGGGATTTCGTAACCTTTAGATAAAACTCGGCAGCACTTTCGTCACACGTTTCATAATGTATCCAAAATGATGGTTTCTGACATATTCTAAAACTTCCAGTTTAGTCAGCATCTGAACTTGAATTTGAAATCTTCGATAACCTCATAGAGTCTCGAATCTTTAGCTAACATAAACTAATGAGCTCTCAAAAGACTACATAAAGAATTATCCTCAGATCTTACACAACAGAAAAAGTCAGAAGACGAGTGTAAATGACCCATTATTTAACACATATAGCTGAACAGAGGGCCCCACTTGGGTTTACATAAAACCACCACTTCTGGCTTAATTCAAACAAAAAATTTTAAACTTAAAATAAAATGTAATTAAACTAGCCTAACGGCTTACGTGATAATTTAACACTCAGAAAGGCTCTGACTCGTAGAAGTCGGCGGAAACAAGCTTGATGATTAGAAGAACTCAACATCACAGAATCAAATCGCTAGTGCTTCAAAGTAACAAAGGGGGCCTTCAACTAGGCATAACACATTCTGAAATCTCCAACCAAAAGCTTCGCTTAAATAGCCCTTTTTTTTTACCTTAATTTGAATACACGCGTGGCATCTGATTAGCACGCTGGCAGGAAAGCGTAGGTGAAAACGAGACTGAAAGGAAAGTTGCTTTAACTAAAAATTTAATTGTTAGTCAAATTTATTAAATTCTCACAACCTCGATTACTAAGTGTATTAAGTGCGAGTTCAGTTTATATTCAGTTATGTGTTTTCATTTTATGAGTAAGTAACGTAAGTGGGGAAAACACATCCAAACAGGTGGAAGATCAGCTGCAAAAGTATTCAAAATATTCAAATACATCTTCTTTTCGCCAAGAACGGACATAATTTGAAAAAAAAAAAAAAAGAACTGATAACTCCCAGTAAACTAAATTATGTCCTTTTTAGTCAAAGCAAACAAAACGAAGAAGAAAAAAATTACATATCGCTTCATAATAGGCTTAAATTATTGCGCCTCTTTTGACAGAACATCTTCAAAATTTCCTATACTTTAAGTTTGTTTTCTTTTGTGATATAAAAAATTTTGAAATTTCATATATGTTACTGTGATGCTAGCTTATTTTGTTAACTGAAAAGGCACTTTACAAATAAACAACAGAAAATTGGACGCGAATCAAATACATTCAAAATTTTCTTCCCGTAACCGATAATGACTCTGATCTTATTCTCCAAATTCTGTTGTTAATTACAATCAAGCCATTGTGTAAACGCTGTAATTGAGAGTAATTATTAAGGACTCCAATGATTTATTTTTAACGAGCCTTTTTAAATTGCCTTTGAACTCGTAGAGTTTGATTTTCAAAAGGCGTTTTCCGATGTATATCGCAGACAGGTGTATCCGCGATACCTTCTAGGATGGCATAACTATGTCACTCTACTGTCTCGTTGTTGTTCTGGTCTACAGAATGCTGTTGGCGTACTTGGTTAGGGAAATCATTTTTGCACACGAAAGCCTAAAGCTGGTGCATTTCATTTCCAATAAAACTGCATGTACTTTTGCATAAATTGCAAAAACAGATACGCACATGTATGTGCCTCGTAAATGGGTGTTTGTGCTTACAGAAGAATTTTTCTAAAGTACGTAATCATTTGGTGATTTATATTAACCATGTCAGAGGAAAACGTAGCTTATATTCCAGTATGTGTGCAGTTTAGCAGTCAGCCTAGTATCATAATGAAAATATTTTTCGTTTGTAAATGAGGCTTAAATCTCTATATAAAGTTTTATGTCATTGGTTTTTAAAATATGAATGAGGTAAATCAGTCAAATATCTTGCAATAGAAAATGATAATTTTATTTCTTGAAACAAATTGTTTCAAAAAAGTAATTGACATTCATAGAAGTTTCTAAGGATGGCCGATTAGGATCTGTTTTTTGAAATGCAGTCTAAGAAATTACAGTATGTAGTATCATTTTTAAACCAAATTATTATTTTCTTCTTACCTAAATAAATGTCTTATTTTATAATTCAGAGAAAAATTCTACCAACTGAATACTCAAATGAAAATGAATGGCACAATTATTTTCAAAATGCGTATGAGTAATAAACACATGTCCTTATCTGATAAAGAACAAACACCTCTTTAGTTTCCAGAAAAATCTATTTCATAAGAAAAAGATAACTTTTTAACTACAAAATGAAATGTTCTCTGATTGGGTAACAATGAGTTTGGCGAAAGAATCTCAATTATCGATGCAAAAGAAAAATCTTGTAACTATTTTTACAACATATTGCTCTGACGTACAGATTGTGAAAATTCATTTAAATGCAATTCTTACAAGAGATGCTTTTTAGATATCCATAATTCAGACATTTTACAAAATTCATATTGATACAAACCCATCCATACGGAACTGCCAATATCCCTTCTTGTCTACGGGAACGTAGGTGAAGTTACCTTTGTAGTGCTTGGGATCACTGCCACCAAAAATAATTTCGCCTCCAGGTGTTCCACTGGGATTCCTAATTTAAAATTTTCAAGAATTATAGCAATTCGTATACACATACAACACTGTGAATTGAAACAACAAGTAATTTCTGATTCCTGTATATTTCATTAATAACAGAAAGATGCTAAGTGTTAACGATCACCGATTTTCTTCTCTATTGTTAGCATTTAAAAATATATACTGATACATATTATGCGTCTAAATGTTTAAGTCTCTTTTTGTTTGTTTTTTGTTTGTTTTGATAAATACTAGCACTTTATGGTATACGAAAGCCTTTGCTTCACGTCATTAATTTATCTATCAATTGACATGCACTAAACGAATATGAGTATATATATATAAAGGGGGTGAATAATTATAATTTATTCATCGGTCAACTTAAATTTAGGCAAAAAAATGTGTAACATTCATATTAGGATAAAACCTAATTCTTAAATTTTAATTCCTACCTCAGCATTTTATTCATGTGTTATTGAGCTGTTATCACGAAATTTTTCCTGTGTTAGGAACTTTAATTCGCTTGATCAAGATTTCAATGGAATGTAAAGTTATGATCCATATTAAAATCAGCATCGCGAAAAAGCTCCTCAACAAGCTAAGTGTGACTGAAACCCAACTCAAATTCTTTTAAACATAACTTCACATACTCTAAGTAAGAATACCTTTTTTCTTCTAAATGAGCCTCATGTTTCTTGATTCGTCCACTCTCTTTGCTACTAAATGAGCCTCATGTTTCTTGACTCATTCACTCTCTTTGCTACTAAATATCATAAGAAACGGGATTTTTACAACTTATCAAAATCTGGTACGACGCGTAACCTGTATATTACGTTAAAAAAAATCAAACCGTTCAAAATATGAATTCCAGAACCTTATATAACATTCAAATTAAGAAAAAATTTAATGTTTTTTACAGAAAAAATTACGATTACATTTTTACAAACGTACTCGCTTGCGCAGTATTTTTTGATGCAAGAGTTATATTTGCCCCCTTACCTATTTTAACAATATTTATAGATTTAAAAAAAGTTTATCGCAGCGGTTTGGCAGCAAAACACATCTGTTTAACTGGTTAATTCTTCACGTAAGGCGAGAAATAATATCAGTTTACTTAACCACATTAACTAATTATCACGCATATCGAATTCGCACTAATCCAGTTTTCCTGTATTTATTTCATATGTGTATATTATTGCAGATTTTATGTCTTCTACATTTCTTTAAACTTATGTATACATGTTTTATACCTTTTAATATAGTCTATGAATTAAGGCTTAAATAAAACTTGGCAAAATTTCTAAAAAATATTAAATAAATTAAGAAAAGACAGAAATTAGAATTTAAATGTTAACTTTTTATTTAGAGCATTACGTTTTATTCCTTATACTATGTCACTGTGAATTTTCTCCTTCACCATGTTATCTTACTATTATTTGCTTGTTATCTTATGTCAGATTCGTTCTCGAGCTGTTTGAGCAGTGCTAGCGATAAAGAAAATTTTTCCTTGGTAAGTTATTTTCAGGAGTTTCAGCATTTTGAAATACTGTGAAAAATGCTCTTAATTTTTAATCATATATTAAATGAAGTCTCTCCAATTCTCAAAAATCTAATATATCGATATAAAATTGTGCAAATCCTCTTTAGAAGATTACAGTCGAATCCCACTATAACGAACTTCAAGGGACTGAAGATTTAGTTTTCTATATCCGGTGGCTCACTATATTATTCGATCTGATAAGAAAATCAAAATGAATCACAGCACTAGATAGTGGAGAATTAATTGATATACCTCACAGAAAGAGTGATTAACACTTTTTCATCTCCCAAAATTTTGTATGTTAATAGTAACTTTAATTAAAAAAAAACTTAATTACAATTATTATTACTGCAATCACTAAATTTCTTTAATTTCTTTCCCGTTTATTTTTCAGTTTCCCACATATTAATAATTTCAGATAAAAAATAACTTTGCATAAATGTCCTGGTTTAGACCAGTCCCTCAAATTACAGATTTCTATCTAAAATTCACATTTTCAATTATTATTAAACATCAGCCTTGAATAGGGAGCTGTCTCACAGCTCAGTCAAAGAACCACTTCAAGCTCTTTGTCTCGATGGATCAATGGTTCTTTAGTTCAATGTGTGACGCATGAAGATCTCCTAAGATATGTTTAATATCTGTCCTAGTTTTCCAAGAATTGCGTACTACATCTGCCACACCTAGTCTTTTATTTTGAGCAGAGAGAAAGGTGGAGGTGAAGTTAAAAGAAAAGTTACTTAAAGATGTTTTTCGTTACTCTAGTTCTAGTTAGGTTTCATTATTCTGCTTCTGGACTGATTTTGCCCTTCTCATGTTTCTGTTTAGGGCTACATGCATCTAAATCCCGTAAGTATGACGGAGAACAGAATTCCTATTCCTCCGAAGTTTTTGCTTTAATCGGGTGTTATTCTACAGACTAGCATTTCGATTGGAACTAAGACATAGGATGGTCTGCAAACAGGCATTTTACCACGGAAATATGTAGAACTGTCTTCACCCAAAAAGCTCGAATATACTTGCGCAGGAAGATGAGATGCGAATTTGACTGCAATAGCCAGGTCTGCAGACGCTGAATAGTTTCATTCGAGTCATGTATACATTTCATAGTCATGTATACATTTCATAGAATTGGCATGAAAGTTTTACATAACCATACAAAACAATATTATTTTTAGAAGTTTATGAAAAATACCTGTTGAGATAAAAGGAGAAAACAGGTGATTCAACCACTTTCTCTTTGAGCATATTGTCAAATACTGGCACAACTTGGTCAACAGCTATCGTACTGAAGCCCAGTCCGAGGATTCCATCAAATTTTGCAGCAACGAAAGTCAGACCGGGTTCAGTTACTGCTTCACCGAATGTTTGATCTTGAACCTAAAATCAAATACATTTATTTTATTTTACCAGCCTTGTCAGAATCTTGATTTAGATCAGTGGCGGTAAGAATTTTTTTTCTAAAGGCAGATTTACATTTACATTTATTATTTTTCATAATACTCGAAACCTGCACATTATTTCAAAAATGAAATTAGTATGTTTTTATTTAAATGGTAATATGTAATTTAACTTAAATAACACTCACCTTTTTTGCGTTCATTTATTAGATGAAAAACGCATTTTATAAGGATTATTATTCTGTTAAACTTCCTATCAAGTAATCAAGATCTTTGGGCCCTATAATTTAATTTCTCAGAACCTTGTGGTTTTGAGTGTATGTGTTCTACTCGTAAAGCTTTTCTATAAGCCCACGTCTGTACTTTGATTTTAAGGATCAGTGTTACGAAATTACTGATCCTGTGGTACTTTGTTTACAATATTTTCACCCACCAAAAGGTTTATTAGCCATTTTAGTAAAATTTTAGTAAAATAAATAAATAAATATTAATTGGAACTCTTGATTCACATTATGGCGCAGTTGCTTACCCCGCAGTACTTTGCATGTTAATTTAATAATGCTAGATGATATCGAGGTACAGTTCGATGCTTCTCCTTGAACACAAAATTGAAGTTAGTATTTGAATCACTAGCGACTATTATTTTGGAAGACGGCGTAACTAGAAAAACTTTGAAAATATCTTACGAACTACTACTTCCTGTTAATTCTGCTGGCGGTTGTTCAGAAAATGTATCTATGTTTTGTTAATGTCGCTAATTAACTAAGATATATTGAATCAAAGTAGAATTATACTGGATTAACATTTAACATTTCTATTCATCGTCATTTCCTTCAGTTAAAGACAATAAAATCACATCGCCCAAGAAACGAATCTAAATTGTTTTATATGTGAACCTGAAATTAGAAAAGAAAAGGGAAATTAAATACACCTCTAATTAAAAGTCACTCATTTTTATTCTAACAGAAAACTAAAAAAAAAATTAATTCTCAAATTTTCATTAAGCTCTCGGTTAAAATCTATTCCTCATATTTACAAGTTTATATATATATATATATATATATATATATATACGAGATGTGACACAAAAGAAAACAAGACTAAGTGTGTAGCTTGAAAACAGGATAGAGTTGGCAACAACTGTTTGGGTGAAATCATGCCACTCATCTCCTCTATCCATGCGACGAGTTTCGACTTAGCCGACCACGCCAGTGGGGAGTACTGCATCATTGAATGTACACGTGCAACTGCACTCTGCCGGAAAATGTCTAATGTAAAAACCGAACAGCAAATCAACATCAAGTTTCTTGTGAAACTTAAGAAATCATGGGACAATGTAGAAGACGATTAACGTGCTGGGCGCCCTGTCAAGATTGAATGGGTTCCCAGTGGTCAGATTGTTAATCAACACTACGACAATGAAGTATTAAAAAGACTTCATGAAAAAATTAGGAGAAAAAAGGCCACAGCTGTGGAGTGATGGATGGCTGTTGCACCCGCTCACACGGCCCTATCTGTCAAGCAGTTTCTGACCAGCAAAAACATTACTGTGAAGGGGCATCGTCCTTATTCACATGATTTGGCTCCATACGACTTTTTTTTTTATTTCCTAAAGTTAAATCTTACTTAAAGGGAACCCTTTACCACAACTGAAGAGGTCACAGGCAAAAACGGAGAATCTCCTGAAGGGCCTTCCAGAAGATTCGTTCCAGAACTGTTGGTAGCAATGGCAGCACCAAATGCAGAAGTGTGTGAATGCTGAAAGCAACTACTTTGAAGGTGATGATGTCATGGAAAACTGATTCTGTAAGTACAATGATTTATTGGACCAGTCTTTTTTTTCACACCTTGTACGTATATGTCTAAACAGTTTTAATTAATATAAAGCATAACATTTTTCAAAAACAGTTTTCAATTTTCCGAAAATAGTATTCCAGGATTTTTATTCAGTATTGTTTATTTCCTTACTTCTTCCAAAGAGCATAATATCAGATTATTTACGCAGTACGTAAAGTAATTATTTTATTTATAAAAACTATAAACATATTTTCCACAAAAAAAAAGTGTTTTATTCTTTCTTTTCATATAGGCAATCCGTTTTGGTCTCTTTCCCTCTTTCTAAGTTTTCAAATTTTCAAGTTTCAGTTTTTCGTTAGTATTTATAATAATTTTAATTTGGAATATGAAGAAAATATGCATATTATAAGACATGTATCTCTTATTATAAGTAATACATGTATCTCTTATTATAAGATATATATCTCATGTACATGTATCTCTTGTGCAGTATTCTGACTGCAAAAAGAAGGCTTCATTTAAGAAGCAAATCCAGAAAGAAATATCAGGTTTCAAATTTTTTGTAATTTTAGTCGCTCTGTTCATTTCTTGGATCTGGGAAATCCAAGACACGTTCCTTGTCATTTTTTAATTTTTAAGAGAGTGAGAGAAAAAGGAAAGATTATTACCTTTACTCCGCCAATTTGAACTGTGTCTGTACTCAAGAACCCTGTCATGCTTCCGCTTCCATACTTGATTTCCAAACTGGTTCCATTGGGTTTGTATGTGCTAGATTTGCTGCTGTCGTATTTGTTGTGAAGTACTGAAAATACAAATACAATAATGACTATGTACGCAAATAAGTAAATAAAGATCAATGCTCTTCCACGAGGATTAGCATAGCACTGATATTCTAAAATTAACCGAAATACTTGGTCACTATGACCTAAATCGAGTAAAGGGAGGTGGCTAATAAACATTACATATCAGAAAATCTGAAAGCCAGTACAAATTAATAAGACAACGTAACAAATAGTAAGTATAGCACTAGGAAAGAGTTTACCACAATCAAAATACACCAAATACAGATACTGTGTACACAGACTGCAGCTATTGAAAATATCTTCCAAAATACTGTGATAAACATTTTCTCTGAAATGGAGGCTTTTCTAATTTCGTTCATTGTACCTGTAACTGTTTTCACAACATCCATAATCAAGAATTCACCGACAGTTTTCTTGATTTCACTTAGAACTTTGAATATTTCAGCAAAGGCAGCAGAAATGCTATTAGAACTGTATTGAAGTTTCTTTTTTTATACCTTGGCTTCTCACAGTTACTCTAGAATTTGCTGGTTTCTCCATCGATAATGGTATTTTTCGAAATTTTGAGAGCAGAGTCGACTTCTTGCGGGAGAGTCTGTTTACCAAAGTACAAAGGCCTGTCCGCGTGTTAAGGCTTAACCCTCTACCCTGTGCTTCTGAGTTTGTTGCTATGGATATCAGGAATTTTTTCGGGAGATTTTACTCTTGATTTTAGTAAGATTTTTTTTAATATTTTTAAAAATTTGTTGCATATGTCTTTTCACAGATACAGCAAGTCAGCTTCGAAGTCCATTATACCTGGCAATCTCAATTCTTGTGTGGTAGCGCACACTTCTTGCACCTCGGGATGAATTTGCAGCCGTCCGTTTAAAAATATTAAAAATTGCGGCACCGGGCCACACTATCTTTGAACTCATGCGCTTCCAGAGAAAGAGCAAAACATGAAAGATTTTTAATATCATATATGCACTTCGCTCCAGGTTCATTCATTAATTGTACCTGGAACAGAGGCATTGTTACTCTTGTCTTAAATCTGATCATGGACACTACCTTAATTATATTAAATCTCTCCGAAACCAAATTTTTGTTTTTTACTTCAATAGCAGAGCAATCAGTGAGTATACTTCTGAGAACCACATTAATTGGTTTAGCCGCCTTGGAATGAGCCATATGATGCTACACATTGCCATTTGTGAAATACTGAACGATCAACCAGAGATCATTGATACTGATTGAAAATATTTTCAAAAATTTGGCAGCGTTATTAGATTTAGTTTCCACCCGAAGTTTCTTAACCTATTCGTTTGAGCTTCAGTGGTGTAATCACCATAATGGGCTTGATCCTACGTGTTTGAACTTCAACATTTTGTGGAGTACTGCTGTGGTTCATAACATTATTTCCATCAATCATTATTAATATTATTAAGCACATCCAATTTGTAATTAACATCAACATGAAAGAAATTTTTTATGATCATACTAGAGCGAGCGGTCTTCATAGGACAAGCAAATCCATCCAGGCTCGTAGTTCTGACGTCTGGCCACGTTTTCTGATTTACTTTCTTAACATTGTCATCAAAATTACTGGGGAAAATTATCAGAACTTTTCAACATTTATAACATTCCTAACAACATCAGAGAGCAAGGTATTGTCAGAACCAGAAGCTTTAGATTTACTAATTTTATTAAAACCAACATTAACATTACCTGTACTATATTATCAGAAACGGCGCTAATATTAGATTTAATCACATTAACATCATCAACAATAGATTTGCTATGCTGCAAGATATATTTTAATTTTATAACAGTTATTTTAATTTAGTTAACCTTTCCTATCGTTCCTTGTTTCAACTTACAATGAGTAAGAAGTAGCCGTTAAGGAAGGTTCAACTTACTTCGAGAGAGAGAGCTAGGAATCCTGAGTAGCGTGTGTTTGTTTGCCTTCGGGCTAAGTCTTCCTAGAAGCGGTTACGGCCGTATATTACATGCCTTTTGATATTCGCCGGCTAGTTTAAACTAAGGGCCAACTACGTTAGATTTGTGTTAGCTTCGGCTAAATCTCTTAAATAAATATAGTTAGTTTTTATTTCTTATTTTTTGAGTTTAAGCCCAAGTGGAGGCTTTGTTGTAAACCCGAAGAAAGGGGCCGACTGTTCATCTTCTTTTGAGTAAAATAAAGGGTAGTTAACCCTTCTTGAGTTTACGATTCCTATTACTAACTAAGCGATAAGTTGCTTAACAGTTCACTAGGCTCCTCCACATTTACTTTAGTAGAATAAGAATGAGAAACTCTAGAATGTGCCCTTAAAAAATTCGCACTTAACTTTTCAGACTGTTGTCTTTCGCATTCCACTTCTTAATTTGTACCTCAAACATTATATAGAGAAGATTCACATAGCCTTTAAGAGTAACCTTAAGATAATTTTCTGCGGCGTCCATAAGATTTTTCTTGAAACCCAGAGAGTTCTTGTTGAAATGAAATTGGTCGATTTCTTTTCTTAGATCATAAATTCTGTAATACTTCCTCTATACTCTTCGGAGTCATTTCAAAATTCAATCCAGCTACCGAAATGTCATCATTACTGTCCGAAATTATTTTACAATCATTGCTTGCCATTTCGCACAGGTAATCCAATACAAAAAAATTGTCATCGAAAAACACAATGGAAGATAACGAACACGTGTTTACAGAAGCTCCTGTGCACCCATCCTTCGGCGGCACCAATCTACGGCGTCCAGTCATCGAACCAAATAAAAAAAAATCATGACATGTATTCATTAATAAACAAAGAAATAAGCGCATACATCGTAAGACTAAAATTGCGCACCCTATGCTGAGGATGTACTGGGTTCGCCAATCGCCTTCTAACTGAAATTTAATATGCCAATGTACAGTGTTGTTTGCAAATGCTATTACACAAATGTAACATTTTTAACAATTAAACGACAATGCAAGTTCGGCACAGCAGTAGTTTTTTTACATTTTAAAATAAAATGATGAACTAATTTAGCATTTTAAAATATGATTAAAAAGCTGCTTATGGATTTTACAATATTAATTAAATACGAAATGTGCATATGATATAGAAAAGAATATTTTAATAATTGAGAATATAATCACTGCTTATAAAGTGATTATTAGTATTTTATGAAATATTTACTTACAACAAGCGATGTTTGTCCACTTGCACTTCTTAGATGGCACCCATAAGTTAGACGATCCAGTGTCAAATACTACATTGAACTTTTGAGGTGGTGTGCCAATGAAAATTTCGCCGTAGTACTGAGCCTAGTCAAATGTAGAAACATCATATTTATAACCGTATAAAACATGCTCTTTTGTTCAAAAAATGTTATTTGCGCATTAAAACTTTTCCAATTCCATGACAGTTCTAAAGAACTAGCCATGAGGATCAAGATTATGCATAAGCACACTTTTGAAAGCATTCAAATTTTAATAAGTTGTATTTGAGAGTTTTCTCTTCACAGTTCGTAATTTAGACCTTTGCCTTTTCCTTTTGCATAACTTTTTTTCTAATAATTTTTATTCACAATGTCTAAAATTTTATTGTGATCATTGGTTATATAACATGTAAACACAGAACTGAGTCCTCTCACATGCATTTAACAAAAGCAAATTTTTCCGCGTCATCTATATAAAACTCTTAATTGAAGCCCATTAATTAGTCAATTATCCCTATCTGCTGAAGACAGAATCCTTTTACGGGCGTTTCATCATCTAGCAAATTCACTGCTCTTTTCAACAAATCATATATTTATATAGAGGTCACAGAACTCCAGTACATTTCGCTAAATTCTGTATAATTCATTGCAGTCTTCTTATAGCAGTGTCTGAGAGTTTCAACAATTAACTCCTGTGTTAATTTCATAAACAAACCATATTTATGAGAGAAGATTACAAAAATAACTAAAAATTACATAACATTCGAATGAACAGATGATTACTTATAACTGTTCTATTACGTAAATTTTTGTACACTCAGTTCATAATTTTATTCCTTACATATTTAATTTTGATGTCTTTAAGCATTTTAGCAAAAAGATTAGTTAATCTTAAGTAAAAGATTAATTAATTTAAATAGCAAAATGACACAGATATAAATAGAAGTTTTAAAACTCACATTACAGACTGACCAGAAATTATTACTGTAACTTACTCTTTCAATTTCGCTACCATTTCAGACTCCTGTAAATCCCAGACATCGAAATCTATGATTTAGTGGATTTCCAGCAAATTTAATACTTGAATTGTTAAAAATTATACTCCATGCTGTTCTTGAATGTGATACTCCAAAAATATCATTGTCCCCTCGAATATAGAGAAATCTCCAAATTTTTAACTCATTTTCAACGCTTCAAATGAAGAATTTTAAATCAGCTAACTCCATAAATGAGGCATGTCAAACTCGCGACCCATTTCTCTGCTGCCTTTAGGACGTTTTCTACCGCCCTCCCTTCACTTCAAGAAGATAACAAAGCTATGTACGTAATTTTAATATATTAATAAAATTTTGAATTTCACCGAACATCTAGACGTATACATAACCTTCAGTACTAAAAAGGACTCTTGAGAAAATTTCTTTACATACTTTCTCAACCGACGATACAAAAGTGTTTGCCCATTTACAGATGGTATTAATAGGAACTCGGCACGGCTCTATTCTTTCTGCATTTTTTTTTTCTTTTTTTCCCTTTTTAATGGCTTTTTTGTTTCGTGCAGCCCGCATTATTGTATACTGATGACTATTTGGCCTACTTAAGACACTCAGTTTGACATGTTTGCTTAAAATAAGAAGAGCGATTTTTAACTAGAACAGGCTTGATACTCAATCACTAACTCGTTTCATATATTTTTATCGAGTGTTTTATAATTAGAGTGTTAAGTATTTCTCCCGCCTTCCTAGCGTGCTTTCGTGGTGTAGTAGTTCTGCACGCTGGGCCGGTATTCCAGAGGTCTGTGGTTCGATTACCGGCGAAAGCGATTGCTCACTTTTCATCTTGCCTGCTTCAAAAAATATCTAAAGTCTCTACAGTGGCATCTGAACTAAAAGGGTGTTGGTTGATGATTCTCCTCACTCAGGACTTGGCGATTGGAGCCCCTAAAACCCCCAGTCGCCCTTTAAAAGGGGAAGTATTTCTCCCACCTTCTTCGCATGCCTTCGTGGTGTAGAGATCAGCACACTGAGCCGGTATTTCTGACCTCCATGGTTCGCTTCCCGGCGAAGGCGATTGTCATCTTTCATCTTTCCTGCTTCAAAAAGTACATAATGTCTCTACAGTGGCGCCCGAACTAAAAGGGTGCTGGTTGATGATTCTCCTCACCCAGGATTTGGCGATTGGGTACCCTAAAAAAAAAAACCCCGGTCGCCCTTTAAAGGGGGAGTACATAAAGTATTTCTCCCACCTTCTTGACATACCTTCGTGGTGTAGAGATCAGCACACTAAGCCGGTATTTCTGAGGTCTATGGTTCGCTTCGCGGCGAAGGTGATTGCTCATTTTTCATCTTGCCTGCTTCCAAAAAATACCTAATGTCTCTACAAGAGAATCAGATTTTAATACTATTTGGTACTTGACCCTTTATTTAATATTTGACTAGTATCTCTAGTTAAATGTTTGACTCCTATCTCTAGTTAAATGTTTGACTACTATCTCTATTTGAATGTTTGACTACTATCTTTATATCTGAAAAATATATTTTTATCGAGTATTTGATAATTAGAGAATGAGATTTTAGTATTATTTGATATTTGACCCTTTATTTACTGTTTGACTACTATCACTAGTTTTGCTAAATTATTCGTATTATACAACTTATCAAATGTTATTATTGCTCTTCACATCCTAAATATTCATTCTAAAAGTCATAGTTTCAATTTAAGGTTTGATTTTTCATATAAAAATAGCTAATATCACTAACTCATAACCTCTTTGCACAAAGTATGAGTAAATGTCTATTAGTGTTCATACATTCATTCACATTAAGAAAAAAATTTAAATGCATGCATCAGTTCACAGAAATTAAAAATGGAACTGTTACTCACATCTAAGTAATTAGAAAGCGGCTCTGGAATAGGGCTTTTTCCAAAAATAGGTCTTCTAGGAAGAGCAACTTCTATTGGGGTTCCAACCTCATGAAGCCTGTGTCTAACAGGTTTCATGTGCTTGAGAGGAATTCTAAGTATAAATTTTAAAATTAATATGCATTTCATAAAATTTTGAATTTTAAACGACTAAAATGAAAGTAACTACTCAGAATTAAATAAAATTCAACTACAGTCATCTGAATTTAAATAACTAATATCGATTCTCGGGTATTTTTAGTTCGAATGTTTAAAATACTACTTTAGGACGGTTCATTTATGCTGTAGGAACGAAATATTCTGATCACAATTAATATACTAGGGAATATTTTGTGCTGGAGTCATTATTACTCCTGTCATGCTCAGTCTTGAAGTGCACGATGTATTAATCTCTCCACTTTGTGTACAAATTCCAGTAAGTGATTATAAATTCGAAAGTACATTAGAAAAATTCGAGATTATGCATGTTCCTTGCAAATCAGATGTTACACATGATCCACAAATATCTAAAAAAGGAAAAGAGAAACTTTCGCAGTCTGCTCTGATATAATAATACTCAGTTAATTAGGGCAGTATTAAATATTTCTGTTTTTCTATTTTTCCCAACTTTTTCCGAAGTAAGCGAAAGCCTGTTTGACAATCTCCTTCCTTGCCTTGCTTTGATTAAATAAGCATCACAGCTTGCGAAAATTTAGGCTTTTGCAAAGTCAAATATACAATCTATTTTCACGATGTGAAATGAAATATAAAATTACTTGGTGCTGTGAAAGATCACATTAGGACCATTTTCGATAATAGTTCCTCAGTATCTTAAATTTAATTCTTCTGCACTTATCTTAAAAGTATAAAATTTTACAAGTATATTCGTATTTAATTGCCGTTCAGGAAACATGTTAGAGAATGCAAAAATTTTATAGTAATCAGTCTTTAAAATAGAAAGCTATTAAAGATTTCGAAATACTGAAATGAGAAATTTAAGGCATCAAATTTAATTTGAAACTTTCAACAAATATGTATGCACTCAAAATTTGAAAACAATAAGCTCACCTAAGAAGTCTGTCAGCAGCAGACAAACTTAAGAGAGTGAATAAAAAAACTCCGGCAAAGAACTTCATGTTGATAGATATGTCTATACTCTATCTAGGAGGTGTATCACGATGCACACTCCTTTTATAACCGACTTTCTAATCAGCAAAATGCTGAAAATATCACGTGAGGACATTTGCAATTTATCACATGAAAGACAAATTCTGAATGATTAGATAGAGTCTATTATGCACTATGTTAGAATAAAAGTCACTTCTCTAGCCTATCCAATCAAGAGTGTTTTTGTCACTTATTCTCTCTTTCTATCTCTCTCTCCCTCTCTTTTTTTTTTTTTTTTTAATTTTTTGATTCGTAATCGATACGTAGGAAATAGCGCAAGAGATCATACAGGCTCAAAGACTAAATGCAGTCTAATCAGCTCTAAATAAAATTTAATCTATTTAGAGCTGATTAGACTTACGTGAATAAATATCTTAAAGAATCTTTCCATTCCATTAACATTTTACCTGCAGATGTGGCTAATAGGAAATCCATGTAAAAAATATTTACATTGCTTATTATTCAAAATCTCCGTAATAAATTAAATAGATTTCTCAGTAACTGTGTAGGTGGAAATGAACTTTATAAAACGTTTTTCAACCAAAATAAACAATATTATTTATTGCACGTTTACATATGTGAGCACTTCTCATTTGTTTTTAACTTTTTAACGAAGGAGCCCCCCAAAAAGTAAATAATTAATTAAAAAGTGTTCAAAATAAATTTATTCGGTAATGACATTCATGATTACATTTCAAATGTGTAGTAGAAATAAATTCCTTAATGAAAAGATGTGTATGATCTAGAAATCTAGATATAAGTGTTCCTAGATTAGAACATGTCTAAAAAATGCTAAATAACACATTTTTTTCTCATAATTACATTTTTTTCGTGTTTATTGGAGTAGAAAGAATTCAAAATTTTCTCGAATCTAAAGCCGAATTCTTAATAGCTCTCGAATCTTTTGAATCCCAAACTTCTGGAATCATTCTTATAAGAATAAGATTAAGAAAAAAAAAGGGAGGCAAATTTTATACGTGATATTAAAAGTTTTAGTTAATGCAAATTCTGAAAATCTACCTTTTATGGAAACTTCCCAGACGGGAAAGTGGTTAATGACTATGAGTGAGTGACCCGAAGGGCCAGGGCTCAAGTTCCGGAGAACAACACATGGATGTAAAATGCTTGTCCTTTCATAGGAAGTAACGGTGGCCGCCTGTTATGTGCCTCCATAATAAAATGACCACCGCTTCTAGTCTTAGTAGCGGCGAAAGCCTAAAATAGCTAGTGCCCGCCATAAAAACATAAAAAAAAGAAGAATGAACAAAAATTAAGGATTTAGATTTAAAGACACTTCAAGATTTATCAAAATATGTAAGATAAATATTTAATTAAAGCTCTTAAATCTTGGCTAATTTTGTGAACATGTGAATGAAATTTTATAAAAAAGCATTTTTTTCTGTGCGAGGGAAAGCAGATTATTAGGTTAAATTTGCTTCATCCCGCGACTCGGGCTAGCAATATCGTTGAAGTTAACCTACTCCTCCCTGGGTAAAGCACGTTAAATTTTTGAGGAAAGAGAACACTGGAAGAAATCATCTTGGACATCCTCGAGCTGGAAACAGGACCAACGTCCCCTGTGATCAGGGTCATAATCTTTCTTCTTGCTAAAGACATTTAGACTCTCAATTGGTTGGACTTTATGAACTCATGAGCTTAATATTACCTGTAGGTATGTGACTTGTGTTTTTTTGCATATGCAGACATTTAAGCTTACTCTTCCTTTAAAATAATTTTTTTGGTTGATAAAATACTGCGGATATCATAAAAAAATATATTCCCCTTTCTGTACTGTCTAAATCAGAAAATAAATGAATGTTAAACCAATTAAATATGGTAGTTAATTCGAAGTTCCACTGATGGGTTGTTCGCATAGTTTTAAGTTCAATTCACTTATCTTTACATGATACGGTTGCACTAACCATTATACGGATTGGTTCTTAATTATCATTTAATTTAAATTAAATTAACTGTAATATTTTTGTTTGTTATTTTAAACGGCAACTAAAATTTTCTGCATAACAAATTGGTACCCTAACAATATTCCATATTATTTCATATATTATAAAAAAAAATTTAATTACATTAATTGTATTTTGATATACTTTCTCGTATATATATATATATACGCAAAGCTTAAATCCAGTCCAAGCCCAAAATAAAATGTTTTCTGTTATTTTTATTTATTATTTAATTATCTGACTTAGTTTAATTATGTTTTTCATATTTTTTTTGAATTTTTTAAAACTGGAAATGCAGGGAAAATTACTATCTTCTACTTGGCATACATTTACGTGTGGTATTTTTTCCGTGCGCGTTTTTATCAGTGTGGGCTTATATCAATGCGAGGTTTTTGCCAGTGTGGGCTACGTACGCTTTCAGCCATGTGAGTATTTGTCCCATGGAAAATCATCACAGTAGAGGTGTTTTTTTTTTTTTTTTTTTTTTTTTTGTGTGGTGTGTGTGTGTGTGGGCTTTTATTGAAAGAAACATTTCCCCGAATTTTCATTTTGGGGATATCTGATTGGTTGACTTACGCGAAAACTAGTTCTTTGAGAAGCTAAAAGGGACACAGTTTTAAAAGAAACATTTTCATCTCGATTGTAAAATGTCCCTCGTAGCTAACCGGGACATCGGGTCGAATGAACTATGTTTCGGCTAGAAGCTCTCCAGTGGTAAAAGGAGAGACTCATTTCTCGTATTAGTTTTTCCTAGTTTCACACGATGTTAGATGTGAAAACCTCATAAGAAACAAACATTTTTTTACGAGATTCGTTATTTTTTGGCCCGTATCAACAAATGAAAGGTATTCACTTTATATGTAACTTTTTTGTTCAGCATATTATATATAAATAGGCATATAAATATTTAGATTTTTCTAACATTCAAACGATGCACATGGACTCGATTTACGTTAAATATAGTTTTAGAAACAATTAGTTTAGAAATGCGTTTCATAGTTTTCTAAATGAATATTCTATTTGCTGAATATAACATTGAGCAACACAAAGAAAAATTTCTTTAATAAACACAAAATTAGAAGAATTGTAATTAATGAAAATTTCTTAACACCTATAATCTCTAGAAACTGTGTGAGACAAAACAGAACGAAAGGGAATAAGATGTGGAAATTTTCACCAGGAATCACAATTGAGAAAGAGAACAAACATAACAGCAAATTAAAAGCAGCTCTTTTTATAAACTAACCTTCAGATGAAGACAGCATGCTTTTTGACCTTGAGTCACGAAGATCTTAAGTGCATTATATTTCTCATTTTCAAACCGTATTCATGTACTTGAGATATTAGTCTAATATGACGTCTATTTAATGCTAAGGAATCAATTTATCCACTTTTGTCTTGTTTATTAATATTTTTATATGAAAATAATTATCTAAGTCTGCGTTTTTGCATATACAGGCCTGTATTTCCTTTTTAATTTGAAACTTTTATTAAATGCTCACAAATTTAATTCTTAATAGTTAAGAAAAGTAGGTGAATTTCACCTATAAATAAATTAGGAAGTAGATATATATGATCAATATTTTATTAAAACATATTTTTTATTAATTGTTGAAAGTACTTAGCGTGTCTATTCATTTGAACTTATTATTTGATCCGAAATTCTTTACGATATATCGATTTGGTAAATTTATATTTAACGATTGCTAATTTACAATTATGGATTGAATTACTTGATTACAGGTTTGGTTTGGTTTGGTTTATTTAATGGTTTGGTTTGGTTTATGGCAAAGCACACTAGGGCTATCTGCCTGAGGGAAGGGATGCCTTCGTGGAGGACTTTCTAAGGGAAACTGGCTCGTATACACGTTACACATTACTTGATTACAGAAAAGCAGACAAGAACTATATTAAGAACTGCCAATTATATGAATTCTGCGTTCACCAATTCTTCATTCTTACATCGAATTCTGTCAGCCTTGAGAAAATTTTGTTACACTTTGCTGCAAAAGTCAACACTTAACTCTTAATTGCAAAGATGTATGTGCTATTTCTGTATTCTGTTTTTATAATATTTTTAAGAAAACAAATTAATGAGTTTATCAGATCAACAATAGACGTTTTCCTGTGGCACAAAATTTTTGTACAGCTCATGTGAATTATGTGAATTACTTTAGCGAAAAAAAATATTTATATAGCTTTCAGTTTTTGTAAATTTAAATTAGAATTTACTCTTTGCCCAAAACAGAAAAGTTTTATTAAACTATTTTCATATAATTTGCATGTAAATCAAAACTTGTTTAATTTATATTGCCTTTTTTTTTTTAACTTTTCATCTCTCTCTCTGATAAAGAAACTTCCTATGAATTACGCCGCGTGGTTTACAGTATTATTTAGTTCGTTATAGGAATCTATGTAAACTTCAGATTCCGTACAAAATGTCTTAAATTTCCCTGTATAACAGCTTCATTCATCTTCATACAACATTTGATATTTTTATTTTGTAACTTATTCTCTGCTGCAAAGAGAAATAAAATTTATTATATGAAATAAAGTACAACTACATATGATTTAGGAAATATGTTCTTCCATTAGGAATTTTCAGTAATCTTGTACCTTATGGTAGACATTCCGGATATTTCACGCAAACAGGTCAACTACTCCAGTCATTGATGATAATGGAAAATAGAAAAAAAAATTGATTATTTCTACTTATTGATAATGAATGCAGTACAGTGGTTTGTTTATCAGCTTCTGTTGCACAATCCAGATCACATGCAATCCTGAAATATGGTAAAAAAAAGCACATACTAATACGGAATATCATCTATGCAACTGGATTCTACACTACAGAGCTAGTATCAAATCATATACATTAAGGTTGCATTGCTAATCAATTAAACGATATAAAGTTAAATATAAATGTCCTTACAATTTAAAAAAATAACCAAATTTCATCTTAACATCTTAAAGCTGAGATCTAAACATCTGAAAGCTATCCTAATAGAGCAAGACGTAACTGTTAAAACAGCTGAATATTTTAATGTAAAGAAATAATTGGTCGAAGACACGTATGATACACATATGCTAAAA